TTATCCTAAAATATATTTTTAATGTTTTTTTGCCATAGGGCGCATGTCGTCACCAGAGAGAGACAGAGAGAGGGAAGAGAGAAATCATCCCCCAGGGAGGATGGCCATGCCACAGTCCTTTTTCCTCCATTGTCCTCTCGGGTTTTGGGGTACACATATACACCCACACACATGTGCCAGGTGTGATTTTCAAGCCACCGGGTCTGGTATTTGAACTGTGGTTGGCCACGTGGGAGTCCAGTACCTTAACCACAATGTCACCTACCAGCCCCAGTCTCTATCTCTGTCTGTCTGTCTCTCTCTTATTTTTAAGAGAGATTTTTGCCACAGTGTACGTGTGCTTGCCAGAGAGACAGAGGGAGGCAGAGAAACAGAAAGCGAGAAATCAGCCCTTGGGGGATGGCCACGCCGCAATACCTTCTTCTCCTGGAAGTTTGGCACATAGGCACAGGTACCCAGTGTGAGTTTGCAGCCACCGGGTCCAGGACTCAACCTGCGGTCGGCTACGTGGGAGTCCAGTGTCCAGAGACACAGCCAGCTACCTGCTGGCCCCAGTCTTTCTCTCTTTGTTTTTGAAGTTCTCTTCCTTCCATGAGTAAGAGAGACAAAGGGAGAGAGTTAGCGTCCTCAACAGGACTTTCTTTTTCTTTGTTTTTTTTTTGCAATAGCCAGAGGTCACACATTCTCACCAGACGGAGAGTGAGAGAAGGCACCCCAAGTAGAGTGTGGTCCTGCAGACGGAGAGTGAGAGAAGGCACCCCAAGTAGTGTGTGGTCCTGCCACACACAGTTCTTTCTCCCCATTGTGCATCCCAGCAGGGTTTTGGCCCCACACACACACACACACACACCTGGCATGTTTTTCAAGCTGTTGGGACCAGGATGCCGAGACTCGAACTGTGCCACGTGGGATCTGGCCCCCTTAACCACTGAGCTCTGGGGCCAGCCCTGGATCACGGGCACACGTATACCTGGATATTCAGGGAGGTCGCTGGGCTTGAACCTGGAACCTTCTTACTTCAGCTAGCCTTGCAGAGCATCATGCTTTATCGGCGTGTCACCGTCCAGCCCTGTCTCACTGTGTTAAAGGTGTAGCAACATGTCACAGGGGTGCTCATTGGACTCATGGCTTTTGGAGATCCAGGCAGGACATCTTTGGGGGGCGATTTTGTGAATTCTGCCTATCGGGGAGAGCCTTTGGGAAATTTTCCAGGACCCACAAAAAAGGTGTATCGTTTCTTGACATATATACAGGAAAACTGTATAGGTTTCATTCTCTAAATGTCGCGTCCTGTTGATTCAATTTAATTCCAGTTATGTTCTCAACAAAATTGTTTATTAAATTGGCAAACTGGTTCTAAAATTTCCTTCTGAAGAGAGATGTCTAAAACTCGCCAGAGACAGTTCTGAACAAGAAAGACCTCAGACAAATTGTGTTAAATAATTCATGAAGCCCCGGGGTGCCGGCCCTGTTGTAGTCCTGGGGGAATGGGGCCTCTGCGAAGGAGAGTCCTCTCACATCCCAGGGGAGGTGGCGGCCATGTTCAGCCAGTGGTGCTGTTGCCTGTCCATTTGGGGACGAAGTTGGGTGCTTGTCCCAAGCACAGAAACAATTCCCAGATGGAATGCACAGCCGGATGTGCTAAATCTAACTGCAGGTGTAGGTCGTCGGGGAAAGTCATGCTGTGTTTTTCTGTGTTTTTCTATTCAAAGATGCGTCATGGCTTTCCCGACAACCCGTATCGGGAGTACTTTAGGAAAACGCCCACCCCGGACGACGGGAAACGCAGAGGCCAGCAGGGCCGGGAGGGGGACCAAGCGAAGCCACTCCTTCCTCTCCCCTCCCTGTCGTTGTGGGCAGGGCCGGCTCGCTGTGTCCCTCAGACGAGGGACCCCTCCTTGTCTTCCCCAGCGAGCTCCAGGCCCACGAGCGGGGATGGGGCACTGTGAGCCTGAAGATTGGGGGCGCGGGGCGTCTGCCTGTAAATGAATCCATCAGGAAGTGGGTCTGCGAAGGTGGTCCCACGTCACCCAGGCGGTTCAGAGGGAAGCGTGAGACCCGTGGGATGGATGAGAACTGCCTCCGCCCTGCGTGACCTTCTGCCACCTCAGGCCGTAGTTCGTCTAACCCGTTAATCAGAGTTCTCCGCTCTTCATCAGTTCCCGTCCCTTGTAAAAGCGGTGCTCGCCGTGGCTGGGTAAGCACAGAGTGATCTGGAAACGCCCTGCTTCATCAGTGCAGCCTGTGACCTGTCGTTTTGGGGGGTTTGCTATAGGGAGCAAATGGTCACTGGAAAGAGGGGCAGGGAGAGTGAGAAGGCGCGGCCCTCTGGTCATGCTGCAGTCTCTCCTCCTGTCTCGGAATTTGGGGCATATACATGCACATACCTGGCGTGTTTTCCAAACCACTGGGTCCAGGGCTCAAACTGAGTTGGCCTTGTGAGCCGGAGCGTCTTAACCACCATGCCACTGGCTGGCTTATGGGGTATTTAACATTTTCTCTTTTTTCTTTTCTTTTCTTTTCTTTTCTTCTTTTCTTTTCTTTTCTTTTCTTTTCTTCTTTTCTTTTCTTTTCTTTTCTTTTCTTTTCTTTTCTTTTCTTTTCTTTTCTTTTCTTTTCTTTTCTTTTCTTTTCTTTTCTTTTCTTTTCTTTTCTTTTCTTTTCTTTTCTTTTCTTTTCTTTTCTTTTCTTTTCTTTTCTTCTTTTTCCCTTCCCTTCCCCCCCCGTCTCTCTCTCTCTCTTTCTCTTCTTCCTTTCTTTCAGGACAGCACCCCTAATAGTGTCTTTTTTTTTTTTTGAGAGGTTTTCGCTATAGGGCGCGTGCGCTCGCCAGACAGACAGAGAGAGACAGAGAGATAGAAAGTGAGAAATCACCCCCCAGGGGGGATGGCCACACCGCAATCCCTTCTCCTCCATTCTCCTCTCAGGATCTTGGGCATGCACGCACATGCGCCCGGCGTGAGTTTAAGCCACCAGGTCCGGGACTCGAACCGTGGTCGACTACGTGGGAGTCCAGTGACATAGCCATTATGCTAACTGCTGGTCCCCCTAATAGTGTCTTGATGCTGCAGTCCACCCCTGGTCAGAGCCGTTCTCTGGCCGTGGGCAGCAGAGAGGTCTCTGGTAAGGCCTGGAGCCCCTACGTAGGTCAGACACACAGTGGTGCCTTATTGCTCTGCGGGATTCTTTCACTGCTGATGAAGGAGCGAAAGAAAGAGACGCTTCGCGCCTGTACACGTGCTGTCAAATACGTTATCAGCAGATGGTGTGAGGGTTCAGGCCCCAGACCAAGCAGCTTGAAAACCACCCTGGAGCGTGAGCGTGCGTGCCTAAAATCCCGAGAGGAGATGCAGAGGGACTGCTGCGTGGCCAGCCCCTGGGGGTGATTTCTCACTTCCCTCACTGCCCTCTCTCTCCTGAGAGTGCACATACCCTCCCCCACCCCCAGAAAAAGGCCCCCGTGGCCTGCGGAGTAGGGCTTGTCGGTGAAGTTTCTAACATGTGTGGGTACTCCACGTTTAGTGCGCCGGGTGACAGGACCTTGTGTGCCTGTGGCGGGGAGAGAGATTGGGTTGCATTCCGGTGTCAGCGTTGGAAAGGCACCGGGACAAAGGTTTCCTTCTGTGTGTGCTTAGGTGAACCAGAGGAGGGGATCCGCACAGGCTTTGCAGAGCATTAACTTGCGCTCTACTCTATGGGCTTATTATTTGAGGATTGAAAACACAAGCTTCGGCTATTGCTGTTTTAATGTTACGCATTCCTGTATCAGTTGTGAGAGTAATACTGTAGGTGAAAACTGCTTTTGAAATGAAAATGAAAAAAATGTGGGATTGCGAACCAGTTTTTTTTATGAATTTATTAGATGCTCTTTATATAAAAATGTATCTTTATTAAAAGAAAAATGTTGCCCCGAAGCTAGTTTGTAATCCCATAAGAGAAGAAGTGTATATTAATTTAAAACTCCATACAATTGAAACTTTATTTTCCAAGGCAGTTCTTTCACACGCTGGGCTGTAGACCACGGTTCCCCCGTGGCTGAGGCAGCGCGTGGAGAAGCCGGTGCGGCCGGTGGTGCTGCCCTTGCTGTGAGCACCGCTGGCCGGGGAGACCGGGACGCGGCCCGCTAGGATGAGACACCCACAAACCAAAGCACTGTGAATTCCTTTTGCAGAAGTCGACCAAAGGTTCTGTCGTCCTCGGCCACGTGTTCCGGCACGTAAACCTTGCGGAGATAGATTACTTTGGGCTGCGTTACTGCGACAGAAGCCATCAGACGGTGAGTACGGTGACTTCGTATCACATTTTCCTGCTTATAAATCTCGCTTTATCTCTGGACTGTCCTGACGCGGTTTTCGGTGGTTAAGTTCTTGTCACAAGACGACTTTGAAAACACCCGACAAGGTTTCTCCTGATGACTCCCTTCACGTTTTCTCCTTCCTCTGCCGAAAGATGTGAGTTGCTGAATTCAGCTTCCGGGTGCAGCCCTCCCGGAGATGGCATGTGAGGTTTCCACTTTTTTTCCCCCTATAGGGCATGTGCACTCGCCAGAAAGACAGAGAGAGACAGAGAGACAGAAAGCAAGAAATCACCCCCCAGGGGGATGGCCACACCGCAATCCCTTCTCCTCCATTCTCCTCTCGGGATCTTGGGCACGCATGCACACACCCGGGATGAGTTTAAGCCACGGGGTCCGGGACTCGAACCGCTGTCAGCTATGCAGGAATCCGGCGACATAGCCATTACGCCAGCTGCTGGTCCCATGGTTTCCACTTTTTGCAGTCATATGCTAGTGAATGCTTTTCCCTTTGGCTGAGCGTTTAATATGCTAGTGAATGCTTTTCCCTTTGGCTGATCGTTTAGCACGTGGAGGAAAGCAGGTAGCCTCTCGCCTGTTAAGGAAATGAGGAGAAGAAATACGTATGCGGGTCTGCAGAGCGCTCGCGGGAAATGCGCGATGGAAACCTGTGCGTGGATTTCAAGTTCCTTCTTGCACCAAAATAAATTTACACTCCCGCCCCCCATGAACCTTTTGAAGTCCTTTAACATAGTATTAAAAAAAGGCCTATGTTTTGAAAGTGGGAAGAGCTGTTAGAAGATTAAAGCAGGGCTTCTCATTCACGAGCCTGAGGGGCTGGGGTAATAAAGGCCGACTCTCAGCCCTGCTGCCGTTTGTTGCGGGGTTAGCTCAGACTTCCGTCTTTCTGTCTGATGGGGGTCGTGTTACTGAGAAACTCACCGTAGTGGAAAGACTTCGGAGATAATGCTTTTGAAGGATGAAAGGCTACTTACTAATGTGAACTTTGGTTTAGTGTAAGGAAGACTTTTTAAAGTTTAAGTACTTCTTTCATGAGCAAGAGAGCCAGAGAAGCACACACAGGCACCCTCCACAGGGCCCCTGCGCTGTCACCTCGACCTCGGGCAGCACAGATTGGGGCGAGAGAGCCATGCTGTCAGGAGGCCTCCAGATACCCACCCAGAACCTCCCCACCTGAGTCAGCCCCACACAGCCTGTGCTGCCGACGAGGGCCAGTGGGCCCCGAGTCTAAGACAGAGCCTGATCTCGGACAGCCACAGCCTCTTACACCAAAACTCACGCTTAGAAATAGCCTGGAAACAGCCTGGTCGCCTCGCCTGTCCGTTTTCACCTCTTCCGCTGCCCCCCAGGTAAGGGTTTCCTCTGTGCTGCCTCATTTCTCTTGGCCTCCACTGGGTCATCTGGGATGCCCTCGGCGAGTCCCAGGAGCTTCCGAGGGGTACTCCGACCGGCCCAGGAGTGCCCTAGGCTGGGGGGCAGGCAGATGGAAGGCTATCGTGGGGGGGGGGCTTGTGGTTTTCATGAGCTGGCCCCTCTTCTGTTTCACTGGAGGATTGCACGGGGAGGAGTAAAACATCGGTGTGGGGTCGCTTTCCCCAGAATGGACGGCTTGCTAAAGGCATACCCTAAGGAAAGGGAACGGCGTGTTCGGAACGTCACTGAGTTCTGTAGAGGCCACATTCAGGACCGTAAATCTACACTGAGAGATTACATTGAAGACTAGAGAACGTATCTTGCATTACATTCATATTTTTGAAGTAACTTTTTTTTCCTCTAGCACAGAGAGCTGATCTTATCTGGTCTGTCGAACCTTGCCTGGAAACATCGGCTGTCTTGCTAATTTGACATAGACTTACCTCTCTCTCTCTCTGACTTTGTAAAGAAAAATCATAAAAAGCTAGAGAATTTCAGACAATGGCTCTTATTGTTAGAAATGAATTAACAGTATTGTAGTTTCTTGAAAGTTTTGTAGGGTTCATATGAAGACCAAATTTTTTTGTTGTTGTTGTTATTGTTGCACCTTTACTCCCATAGTCTGGCATTTGTGATAGTGTTTATAATACAGGTCCTACGAAAATTAAAGTGCAGATTTAGCAGGAGAAAGCCCTGAGGTCAGGTTATTTTGATGCACGAATACCAGGTGTGTAAATGGCATGAAATAGGTATTTTTTGCCTTCTGAATTTGGGTTTTCTGCTAGTGAATAGACAAACAGTAGATGCTCTGTCAGCGTTGCTTAGTCTTGCATATTCACATCTATCGTCTGAGTCCTCTGAGTCCTTTCCTTGTAAGAGGCTATGAGAATGCAGTCAAAAATCCCAAGGGGAGAATGGAGGAGAAGGGATTGGCTGTGGCCATCCCCACTGGGCCACTGGGGGTACTTTCTTACTTTCGCGCTCTCTCTCTCTCTGTGTGTGTCTCTCTAGCAAGCACACATGCTCTATAGCAAAAAAAAAAAATTATTAGTGTTTTTTTTTTACAGAATAGCCATCTGTTAGAATAGCATGAGACATGACAAAAAAATCTTTGCCAAAAAAACCCAGATGGTGGTATAGTGGTAAACCTGACTTTCTGCAAGACCGACCCATGGGGAGGGTTTGGGTTTGAACCCGGAGCCCTCCCTGAGTGTGGATCGTGTGCGCCTGGGATCCGGGGTTAGGCTAGAGGTGGACGTGGTGTCAGGCCCTGTTGAGGGTGATATTTCTCGCTTATGGAAGAAATAAACAAACTTAAAAACAACAGCAAACCAAATAATGGTTTAAGTTGCCTGATTTTCTGTGTATGAGATGGAATTTTGTGTGTTGCTTTGCATTTTCTGAACCCAACAGTTTATTTTTAGTAGCGATGCGTATGTGCCGATTATGCTTCGTAGAATTAAGGTCTGCAGGGTGTATGATGGTTAAGGTGCTGGACTCCCTCATGGTGTCCATAGTTTGAGTCCCAGACCTGGCGGCTTGCTTTCTCTCTCTCTGGTGAGCACACGTGTCATGTGGCAAATTAAAAGTAATAATAATAATAATAATAATAAATAATTAAATCAAAACAGACAGAAAGTGAGTTATCTGCAGATAAAGAGAAGGACTAGGACAGAGCAGGGAAAAGCTGTGGGCTCCCCCTCCCTTCCCAGGAGCAAGGTGTCATGCCATGCCTTGGGGCCATGCTGGGCCTCTGGCTGGGACTGGGGAGGGGATGGACTGGGAGCCTGCAGGAGTGTGTGTCAGCGACTGTGGTCAGTGGGCAAGTAAAAGCCCGTGAGCTGGACTGGCAGTGGGTGAAGGGGAAGAAGGGCCAGGGAGGGTTGGTGCCCCCTCAGGATCAGCGTGCGCTGTGTGAAAATCAGACGGCTACCCTGGAGAGCTGGAGAGCCCTGCCTGGTGGACGTTCCGGGGTGGCCAGCCTCTCCTGGGGAACTTGTTTGCCTTGGGGGGCCCGGGGGAACTGGGGAGCCTGGATCTAGACTCGCCGTCACCACCGCCTCCATCACATCGCCAGTGCACAAGGACTGTAACCACTGTGCCTGTGTCGCTATGACATGCTCAGGACAGCTCTCTGACGTGGGTGTTATCTTACAGCAGAGGTGAAGAAAGGCAAGCTAGGAAGCTGACGCCCCCCTCCCAAGTCTTAGACGTGACCAGCAAGCCGTGGGGCCGGAGCTCAGACCCGAGTCTGCATGTCTCCGTGCCCTGCCGACCTCTGTACTGTCCTGACTTGCGTGCGTGTAAGATGAAATGATTTTGCAGACTTAGGGTACTAAGGAGCCCTTTCTTTCTATGTAGTTTATATACTTCATATTTGTTGAGAGAGAAGGTAAATGGCATTTTCCAATAAGTAAACTTGTCAGATTGACTTTGTGGTGAGAGAGCTTTGTTTGGGTCTTCATGTGTTTGCATGTGGTCATTCAGTGGGGTTTTTGTTGGTTTTTGAGAGACTTTTGCTATAGCGCACATGTGCTCACTGGATGGACAGACAGACAGTGAGAAATCACCCCTCAAGGGGGATGGCCATGCTGCAGTCCCTTCTCCATGTTCCTCTCAGGATTTTGGGCACACACACACACACATGCACCCAGTGTGTTTCGGGCCGCTGAGTCCAGGACTCAAGCTGTGGTTGACCGCGTGGGAGTCCAGCACCTGAACCACTATGCCACCTGCTGGCCCAGGCATTCAGCAGTTGTTGTTTAATGAATCCTCCGTATACACTGGCCACGTGCTGGAGCTTCCTCTGTTTTTCAGAGTCTCAGGAATCCTGGGGAAAGGGAATTTACTGCCGGGAATATTACATGAAATTCCATGAAACCAATCCACCAGTTCATGTGATAAGTGCATTAAGGTGTTACCCACGTGTAGAGTGATACTAGATGGACCGAGCTCGCCGGAGCGCGCTTCTCTAAGGAGTACAGCTGACCTGATTTGGAGCCCTCTGCGCACCAAGGCTTCTCGACTTCAGTTTTCAGTTAGGGGCTGTCAAAGAGTCTCTGAGGAATCAGAACAGCTCTTCAGAAGACGTGCTCGGGGAGTCAGAACGCGCCTGTGACGAGGGCTGCGTGTGTTAGTGCCGAGCGCATGACG